GCAAGGACGCTCTTAGTAACGAAGGGCATCGCTACGAGCAAGGACGCTACCAGTAACAAAGGGCACGAGCAAGGACGCTACTAGTAGCTCCTGGCATTATATTTCTTACCAAACGGTCCCGTGGTCCAGCTTAGCCCAGGCCGCTACGCATGGCAGCGCGTTGGCTGTGAAGGCTTGGTAGTCTTGCAAATCGATCGTACAGTGCTGGTAAAATGCGACAGAAGTAAACATGTCTTACAGTGTCTAAATTGGACATTCATATTTCTCTGTTTATGAACCTGTATGGCTCAAGGCTCTCTGCGAGCTACAATGAAGTATGCATCCAAATTTTGTTTGAAAAGATTTGGCAGGCTCTGCTAGCAGCCAGGGCAGACGTTGATGCACAGGACTTCGTTATAAGTTATATATAACATCGACAAACGGATGGAAAACACCATTATTTGTAGACTTGTGGTTCAGATGATATAATTAGCTGATTCTGTTGGTTAGCCATTTCTTGTGAGTCGCATGCCAATACTTCTTGATGGCTTGTTGCAGTTGGTGCGCCTGCTGGCCTTCTTGTTTCGTTTGGAGTCTAATTCAAGCAACTTTCTGTCAAGCTTCTGCAGAGAGCCTCGAGAGTTTAAGTCGCCAGATGTCTATATACAGATGTTGGTAATTGCATCCGAATATTCAATCCACAAGTATACAAAGCCAAAACGAGGGAGGGGTGAAGATTGTGAAGGACGATGAGGGAAACACAGCCTTTCAATTGGCGAAGGCCTTAGCACGATGGTGTGGTCTGCTTTGCACCACAGAGTCGACCGCAGAGGCGGCATTCACGCAAAGGACTCATAGAGTGTTTTGGTGCCTAAGTGTGTTCTTTTGTTAAATGGAGACTGATACTTTGGGTGCAACCAAGGCGCTGCAATGCTACCACGGGAGCATTGCGCGAGCCCAGCTTGTCATTCTCAAAAAGTTGTGTCAACATTCCCCCAAAGCCTGGAATGTGCAGCCCAGATCCTGGCAGGTCTTTGCTTTTGCCGCTGCAGAAGCAAAACAAAGCCGAAAGGGAAAATGGTAAACGCAGTGTTCGGCGCTTGTTTGCTGACTTGCAATTTTGACCCTGCAGCAAGCATTCCAGGTAGAAACGAGACATTCTGACACATCACCATGGCCATTGAATCCTTAAGCTGGCTTGTGACTCCTCTACAAGTTGCCCCTGCTCTTGCGTTTGGCCTGAAGCTGATTTGTAGTTTGAGAGCCGGGCGAATGGCAGCTCGCCTGTGACCTTGCTGCACTTTTGCAAATGAGACCTAAGACTGTTGTATGTAGTGATATGGAGGCAAGCATATATTTTTTGAAACTGTCCACATCAACACAAATGATTGAAGCAGTTCATTTTCCAAGGTGTTGCTCATGACAGAAGAGGACCCGCCCTCAGCACCTCATGTTTGGTGGCATTGCATCGTGTTGCCAAACGTTTGTTTTGAAGCGCTTGCTGGTTGAAGGCGCAAGAGCCCGCTACGAGTCCGCAGGGTGACACTCAGGCCACCAAAGCCATCCGCCAGCCACTTCTTTTGTAAGGCTTTGGGGATATCCAATGCATTTATTGGGAAAAATAGTGATTAATAGAAGCGGTAGAAGTGGTAGAAGTGTCCTTGCACACATAACAGGGCACATACATAAGAGCGACACACATGAGAGCCCACATGTTGGAGCACATTTGATGCACAAATTCTGCACTTCCAGGTTCACGAAGCGCCGTGCCAACGAAATCCGCACATCAAGGATTACAAAATGCTGCGCCTGCCGCAAAATCTCAGCATCAAGATTCACAGCCCTGCCAAGGCGTTCCGCAGCAGAAGCGTTTCCAACAACATGAAGATTCCAAAGCACAGCTTTCACTCCATACCTCCCCGGATTTTGCAAAACGAGCTACATGTCCAAAGGTCGCGATTCACTGCACCTCCATATCCAAAGTGCTGCGCCTGCCACGAAATCTGCACATGGAAGTGAAGCCGCCGGACTCTTGCACCTGCAACGAGAAGTCAGCTTCGGACCACCAAAACATCAGGTTTCCCGTAGGCGAAACAAAAAGTGGCCACTCCGTCCAAAAATGCGCACAGCACCACAACAAGAGCGCAGTCTAGGAAAGCACCCACTCGGGCCCCGCAGATTCTTAGAGTCTGCGCAGTCCAAATGCACTTCGAAGGTCTCGAGAGGCATGAATGTAGCGTAAATAACAGCGAATTGGCCGAACGCCTGATGAGCAACACCAATCAACAACCGAATTGACAGTTATTGTAAGAACCCCTTACTCCGCCTTACTACAGGTCCTTGGCTATCAACAAGCATACTTTCTCCTTCAGAAACTCTTTCCTGTCCTCTCAGGTGTGTCTCATTCATGTGCCCTCATATGTATGACTTTTATATTTCCAGACCTCTCTGCTCCAGACCTTGAGGCTTTTAAGCCTCTAGACCTAGAGCTCTTGATATCTCGGGATCTCAAGACCCTTTCAGATTTCTTGATCTCTTTGGCTCTAAGTCTCTAGACCTCCAGACCTCCACAGAACTCTAGACCTGTAGATCTGTTTCTATCTCACGACCCAAAACGTCTAGATCTCTAGACCTTCTGTTTCTACGCCTCTAGACCTCAGACCTTTAGACCAAGGTCAACATTGTTTGAGGTCTCTTGCTGGGAAGATCTATATATACATATATACACAGTACATCTCTATATACATATAATGTTTATTTTGTGTTTGTTTATGTTTGTATATATGTATATATACAATATGTATAGAAGAACTAAGCCTTGGAGTTCTCCGCTTCTGAACAATTCAAAAGATGTCGCCATCTCCTAAAGGCGCAGGTTGATGAAGAGTCGGCCAGCCGCACGTGCTATGCCTAAATGTGTGATGGACAGTCAGCAGACATGTCAATGTAATGAAGAGAATGTGCTGAATGTGTAACCCCAGCTTCTCAGAACTGAGCTGTGCTTGTGCCTTTGCGAACCTTACATGCCAAGGTTCTTTACCGGCATCGATGCGGAGGCAAAGAAGAGTGGCACGAAGGACAAGAACAGGCTCCGTGGAGGGTTTTGGTTTGCCAAACAGTGACAAAAATACTTTGAACCCTTTGCAAGGTTCAGAAATCTGGAATCTACAGATTCTGGAACCAAGATAATACAGCACTTTCAGGACGGGTAGCGAACACTTCGAATGTGGAACGCAAGAGAGCAAGCTGCTCCTTCTTCCTCTGCTACTTCCTGGCTCGAGGATCTTACCAACTTGGCAAACAGCCTTGACCTGCGCATGGAAGCACTTCTCCGTGAGCATGAGCAGGTGGCTGCCTTTTCTTGCATGCTTTGGATTTTCATCTTCAAATTCATTGGAATTGTTTGCTTTTCTATAGCTTTCAGGATTTCTTCCTGGCCTACAAGACTCATATGTACACCGTCCAAAGCTAAGAGCTGGTGTGCTGGCAAGTTGGCCATTCTACAAGAGCCAATTTGAATAGCCAGTTGTTGTGTTTCTGGGACAGCTTTAAGCGGCCATGAGTTTTGTCATCGTTTCGACCACTTTGGACGGTCAATGCCTTGGAGATCACGTCCTCTTTAACCATTAGTGTTTGGATGCGAAGCTGTTGTCTAGTTTTTCACAAAGTGTCAAGAAGAACTCAGCTGAAGAACCCAGCCGCACATTTGTGTCAATGACAGAGTAATGACACTGCCCTTTTGAAAACATGCAACCTTAGTTTTATTCAGATGCTTGTGAGTGAGAAGTGCTTCTTGATGATTGCCCAGGTGCAGAAAGACATTAAGCTGCTCCGCATGAAGGTGCGTTGGGAGTAGATAACGTTTGGCAAACCTCTAGCATAGCCAAGGTAGACAGTCTGCTGTGCTTGCCAATTCTGAATGAGGCTGAGCAAGAAGAAGCTAAGACTCGGGAGGACACAAAAATTAAGGCCTTGGAAGGAGAATTGGCGTCTCAGCTGAGCATTTGTTCAGGGCCACAGACCGAAACAAGACCAAGCATGGATCTGGTATAGGTGTATCAGAGTGTTGCAAGTTGAGATGCGGCAATTCTTGTTCCTCCTTCAGCTCATGATAGAAAGGCATTTTTTCCTCCAGTGTGCCAACTTCATACCTTCAGCTCAGCTGGTGGGCGAGGGAGGGTTGACCATCCCAGCCACGGCTCGAAGTAACTTTGGTCATTTTGATGGGACATAGAAGGAGAACGAGGAGGTGAGGTGCCAAGCCTTTCAGCACGGTTATCCACTGAGGATCGCTTCATGACGCAGGTGCAGCGGGCATTGAATTGTCCTGAAACATATCTTCAGTTCGGAAGAGCATTTGTACTAACAAGAAGCTACTAGTAACAAGTGCCTCGCTACTAGTAACAAGTGCATTACTTGTAGTAACAAGAAGCTACTAGTAACAAGTGCCTCGCTACTAGTAACAAGTGC